ACATATCTCATACAACGGTGCAGAGAATAGAATATTTTGAAGATTCTATGTGTCTTATCAAATCTAATTTAGTTTTGATAAAACACATAGATAATGTGAATAGAAACAAGCTGTTTATACTGTAAAAGTAAGATTGATCGTCAAGTTTCATTACATGGTTGTTTCTATTGCCTATATGCGAAAATTTTAATGATCCCTGCGGATAATATGTTCTTTCATCATTCTTATGATTCATGATTATTGCATAAGTGTTATGTCTTTATCTGAATCATGTTTTTTCGTTATTTCTTTTTATTCATGTTTATTCTTTTGCAATGTACAGTGTTTTTCGACAAAAACACATACTTATTCTGTCGTTTTTGTAATTTGTACAAATCATACATTCACGTAGTAAAAATCTTAGCTCATGATACGCAACAATTAAAATTAAACAACGTAGAACATTTTTACCGAAATGTTGAATACTTAAGCTGAAGTATCACGTACTGGACTATGTTCAGGTAATAGTCAACTAATAGAGAACACATTACCTTTGACTATATGTTCTACAGATATTTATGATAAATTGTTGAATGAAAGCCACTTTGACAATATGGTTCATCGATCTAATCCAGTCCCACGTGCAGTATGTATTCAGGTAATAACTGAAGGCGACGGTAGGTATATCATCTCACGGCATTCTGTAGTGCTTTTACACCGGAATATTTTGGTAACTTTCACGCCCTTTGTGGCTAAGTCGTAAATTGGCTCCACTTACGTGAAAAAAGCACTATAGAATTCGTGAGATGTCTTATTTAGCTCATCGCTCTATCAGGCTATATGGTTGATAACATTCTCTGACCAAAACCTAAGGACTTGGTTTTCTAGAAGCTCGATTATCAACTTTTCTCATGAAAGGGGCGACATGCACTTCATCTAATAGAAAAATCTTCGGGCTATTCAAAACATTATTCAGATTGGTTCCAGCTTTTACTAAAAAGGCAAAAACAAGGGAGTTCCTGTGATTATGACACACTATAGTGCTTAGATAACATCCAAAAGCTTCTTTTCCATATCTTTAATGACTGGCCCCACCTGTTTGGATATTGTGACCAGCTCACTTTGTAGAGAAATTCAAGGTCTATCCAGTGGTATATTTTCGAAGAATACATAATTTTCCTTTATGGCAGAAAAACAACTAACGGAGTGTTCAAAGCACTAAGATAGATGAAAATCATTATACCTGTCAAGTATTTCAACTATTGACCAATGTGGGCATATTTTTGAAAGATCCATTTATAGCTCATTTTGAAGCTCGTGAAATTCTCTGTCGAATGACATATAAAGCGGAGTAATTCACAAGAAAATCAACGGATATTATAAACATGAACGCCGTTGTCGAAAAAATCGCTACGCCGATTGAGCCGAAAACTGGATTTTTTCGGTAAAAATCTCATAACTCAGCAAGGGAAAAAAATTGAAAAAAACCATCCGTGTGTTTGTAGCAAATTCCATGGGGAATCGAATGGCGAAAGAATTAAGTTTGTATCTATTCCGAAAAGAATCTAATGGCATTTTTCCTGGGTCGAGGTAAAACGCATTATTATATCGATCCGCGTGGATCTGTGGATCCCTTTTATTCATTGGAAAATTTTAAAACTTACGTAGATCGATCCAGTTTTTTACGATGTGTCAGAATAACTAACTTTGAAGGTTCCAAATAGTCGTTGTAACAAAATATAAAGTGATTTTTACAAAATTAGCCGTTTTTAGCAATAAAATACGTTTTTTCGTTTTTTTCGCTTTTCTCAACGAAGACGCAAGTTAATCGGATTTTAAAGGTGGTATTCTGAATCAGCGTAAAATTCTGCGTCTAGGGATATGCAACAAGAGTGGATTGCGAATTCACTGTAACTTCGAATTTGGAGCGCCTTATATAAAGAAGAATGTTTGTCTCTTTGTCTGTTCTTTATGCATCTGATCACTGTAAGAGCTAGCGTCACCAAACTTTCCATGATCTTAGGTCCAGAGGAAGCTCGAGAAGGGGTCGGTGAGGGTGAGAAACTCCTTGCTTTTCTCATGGCCAACTTTTCGTAGCGTATTCAGGAGTCAGTGAAATCGAAGAAAATTTTTAGTTAGTTATAAATATATGTCCAATATGTTTAGGTGATTAGCTATAGCACATACTTGGATATGACTTAATCTCTTCGTCGTTTTTTATGCCGGCACATGATGTATCACATTCCTTCCGATACGTGATATTTTGCACACAAGCAGCTTCTACAGCAGCTGAGACTCCCGCACAGAGGCAGGTTCGACGCGAGGAAGATCGGACAAGGCATGCGGCCTCCAGAGCAGCCGAGACTCCGGAGCCATAACTGATAGGAGACCATAACGATGTCTTTTTCTCATATGTCAAGTACGTAATATCAAATTTTCCCGAGCAACGCCGGGTACTTCAACGCCGGGCTAGTTATTAATAAAAGTTCATTAATCGAATCATACAAACGGACAGTAGTCAATCATGAAAATGTCGATCAAGACTTCGTTACATGATGATCTGATAGAATGAGTAAAACGATTGTCAGATATATTATAAAATATGATAAGGTGTCCGATATGCCGAGATTTGATTTAAACAAGGCTATAACACAAATGTTTTTATTTATTAGCGCTCATATGAATCACAAACAAACGAATATACAAAATTTTGTTAACAAGTCTTTGTTTAAGAGGTATTCATCACTCTTCTCATAATCACAGTGTGAATGCTCAGTTTTACAATAGACGCGTGTTCAGAATATATAGATTTCCATTTTGATGTCCAAAAGCTATTTTTCGATGAATTTATTCTGTTTTTAACATTCATGAATGCAGCTGTCTTTTAGAATCACTTGGCAGGAGACATTTTAATGAAAGTTCGGTGAATAGAATATAAGTTAAAGACCAGAAAAATAGGTGAATTTGAGGAAAAAATAAAATGTATGTATCGTTAAGGGATACATATACCAAGTGAAACAGGTATCTCTTGCTAAGCATATATATTTATATATATATATATATATTAGATAAGATTCTTGTACAATCAAAAACTTTTAGGGTGGGTCTATTGCCACTTACAGAAGTGTCAATAAAATGCTATGCTCCTTATTGACACTTCTTGTAAGTGGCAATAACTGCTTGCTACCACGTCCTAAAGTGGTAATAGCTTCTATTTGACACTTCTGTAAGTGGCAATAGCCATTCCGAAAATTTAAATACCAAATGTTACCAAAAACGCTCTCGTAACTTCTGCTGTCTCCTAACTATCTCTCTCATCAAATATATTTTTTTCAAATAACAGAGTACGTTGGAAATTATGGAATTATAGAAACCAGAAGTATTTTTATCGCTCCGTCAAATAGGGCATAATCAGTTATCTTTCGATCTATCTTTTGACCAGTAATTATCACAGTTTTCATTAGTTTTAGAATCACAGTTCATTAGACTTGATTAATGATTTTCGGATACTGATCAAGCTTCGTTCTTTTGTTAAAACACAATTTTCGACACAGCACTCAATTCTCTACAAACTCACATTAGTGTTATTCGTTACTAACACCTCTTGCGCCATGAATAAAACAGATTTTCTCGATGTTTTATCTTTCTGATGCAAATGAGTATTTTTTACCAAAACAAAGTTTTATATACGCTTTTATTACTATCAACGAATTACTGGAAGGTTATCGAAAGTGGAAGAATCCATAGAGCTTTGCGCGGCGACATTCTCATCTATCTGTTTTTCAAAAAAGCTTTCTCTTTTAGACTACAGCGAAGAAAAAAGAAAAAAGCACTTTACAAGAGCTTTTTTGGCGATGCTTCAGGTTCAAAGCTTCTCTCACTCAAACTCAACCACTAAAAGTTTGGGTTTCTCCGTTTCTTGAAGTTCAGACGTTGCTCTTTCCACGGAAAAATAATTAACTGTCCAACACATCAGGAACGTGTAGAAATAACACCCGACATTTGTTCAATTACTTTTGCATCGTAGGTTAGAACGCTTTATGTTTGCATTAAAGTCGTATTGAGGCACGCGACATACCATTTTGTAGAGAAATGTTTGCTCTTCAAACTGATATTTAAACCAAAATTATTACACTACCTCTACCTCATCCGCATTAAAGTTTATTAAAAATGATATCTACTTTCTTTGTATAAAAGCAGTTTTCGAGATTATCAGTAAAACATTAATAACTCCAAAAGAAAAATTGTGGAAAATTTTGAAAAGCTTACTAAATGTTGATTTTAAAGTGCAATGTGCAATGTTCAAAGCAGATAAATGAGCTTCAATTTTCGCAAAATATTATTGTAGCATTTTAATATTTGTCGTCAAATATTGAATGTTTCTTAATGGAGATAAAAATTATTTTCATTTTGAGAATTAATGGATTAAATCGTAAAAGCAAATAAATGTCCATCAAATAGGTCAGTTATATTTTTGTATGACAACGGTTGAGTAATAACAGTTCTGAGAAAAATTAGACTGAGAAATTAGAATTTTATGAATATTCCTATTACCAGCAACAGTAATACTTCCTGAGAACTTCATTTCCTGACCACACATAGAACTAGCACAACATATGGAAACAAATTTAGATCAATAACGATGCTCGCACATACACACCAAAAGAGTGAGATACAAAAAAAGACAAAATTACATTGTCTCGTTCTTCTAAATGTGTACATCGTGTTTGCTATTCAACTTTCCATGTAAACGTAATTGCTTAACATGCGATTTATTTTGTTTTCTACCTAACGGTACATATGTCAATTCATTATTTTATTAGTATAAATAGAGCATGCACAGGTTAATGTGAGCACGCAAATTTTTTGCTGCATTTGATAAAGGTAATCATATTTAAGGTCTTTGATGAAAACTCATTAGGCATCTCGAAGTTACATGGTTTAGTTGCAATATCATCTACTCTCTTCATTGTGTTGTACACTGCTACGAATTTAGTGTCAATTGTTTCTGTTCGAAAGAGATGGCATCTGAACCGAAAGTGTTCGAGTTATCTTCTGTCTCGATACAACATTCTACAAACAATGTCACACCGACTTCAAATCCGCAGATAAAAAAAGAAAATTACTTGGATGAAGTTTGTGTAAATAAATTAAACTTCATTAAAGAAGATTCACTATTAAATGATAAACTTGCAACATTTAATTGTATCTTTCAATCACATTATGCAGTACTAAATGCTAGTGTACCAATTATTAATGATGATAAAATGCCATATTTAACATTTCGAACTCTATTTATGGGTTTATTGTTGACTATAGTTGTATCAGTATTGAGTGCCACGTTTTCATTTAGACGGTATCCACTCAATACTGATGTTGTCATTTTTCAATTAATAACAATGCCACTTGGCCAGCTGATGGCTCGTTTATTACCTCAGAAAACATTTCAACTTTATAAATGGAAATTTTCACTTAATAACGGTCCATTCAATATCAAAGAACATTCATTAATAACAGCTATGCTTATAGCCAATGCCGATACGGCATACGCCATTTATCAAATAACAGCGTTACAAATATTCTACGGAGAACCGATTTCGTTTGCTGCTGGATTATTTCTTGTTATTTCGAGCAGAATGATAGGATTTGGTATGGCAGGTGAGTAGAAGGAGATCTGATCCGATCCACTTTGTTTGACTATCTCTGATTTGTGAAGAGCAGCTTGCTCGCGGAATGTAGTCTGGCGGTTGATACATATTTTATAAGTGAATTGCATTGCTTTCCCATTTTCGATGAGTGTTTTTCCTCGGGCAACAAACTTGTATTCACGAAAATGCTACTATATCACCAACTCGAAACACCTTTTGTATGTACACTATTCGTATTACCTTTAATTTAAAGTTGCACTGAGCAGTGAAACATATTTTACGCGTGTAAGTAATGATTACTATTGTGACAGTTTTCTTCTATGTGATGACGATTCTATTTATGTAACTTAAAACAATAGACCACGACACATCTGACTCTGTTTGGAAAAAATGTGAAGTAAAATATACAGTTGCTGAATGCTTGTTTGTGAAGAGACGTTGAACGTAGGAATAACGTAAGGATATAATGTTCCTACAATTTCTACAACTGTATCATTCAAAAGAACTCCTCCAAAAACATGATTTCGTTACGTTTTGTGCTATCGAAAGGAAAGATGGCCGAAGTCAGCAAAGATGCGCGAAGACAATTACGAATTGTAAAGTTTAAAGTATCACGACATTTATCGTTTAGAACTGGAATTTTATAACTGTTTTTTAGAAGTTCCAGTCTTCACAAACAAACGACAGGATAAAGTGACATGACAACTTCAATTTAGAACGACTTTTTTGAACATTCTTGTGTCAATTATTCTTAGATTTGCTTTGATAATATAACCATTTTGGCATTTCAGGACAAAGAATTCTTGTTTATAGTCTCCGTTTACTATTACTCTTTCCAAAAATCGTATTTGATGGTTCTTTAGATCTAGATCTGTGGCTTTTGCAGCTTTTTATCCGCAATTATATCACAGTTTTTGCGATGTTGACTTTTCCCGTTTATCCCAAGGAGAATAGTCCGATCGCAATATCAGGCTCTAGACCCATTCTGTTTTTGATTGAATAGTACTTTTCAAATTGCTTACTAGTCAACTATTTAATGCTGAGAGGAGAAATAGCTCTATAGCATAGTGAGCGACATCAGAATGTTTTGCTCGTGAAATATATCTTGACTAATAATTCTAATTGCACAGTCATCTCCGATGCTTTCCAATAAATATCAACGTTTCTCGAAAAATCTGTCTTACTGGTGCATAAGAAAGAATTTTGATGAATAGTTATTATTCGATTCAACACTTATTATGTTATATATGATTCGATGCGCTGATTTCGAGTATAACCTTGCTTTTTTAACGGTTATATTACTGAATGAGTCTACAACTCGCTTTCATTTTAAGTTTCATCTGATTCATTGAGAAAAGGCTTTTGCCGCATGCTTCTGTGTTATGAGGTTCGTTTTTGACTATGTGGTTTGTCACAATTCTTGGCATTAGGAACCAAACTTTTTAACTCTTTAATAAATGGGGCATCAATGTTCGTTTGAACGGTAAAGGATTGAAGTGTGTTTGTTATTCTGTTTCAGGCTTATTGAGACGTTATCTAGTATGGCCAGCGGGAATGATATTTCCATCTATCATTCTCAAGTGTGCGACATTTCGAATGTTGCATGAAGACAAGAATGATGACGATTTGCAACTTTCAACGTGGAAAATGGGACGATTTCGGTTTTTCTTCATTGTATTTATTGTTCAGTTTGTTTACTACTGGCTACCGGGCTATTTCATGCCCATACTGACATCATTTTCACTAATATGTTTTATGGATCAGAATAATATTGTACTTGGCCAATTAACCGGATTCTACGGTTTGGGTATTGGAGCGCTGCAGTTTGATTGGCAATCTGTAACGGCATTTTTACAATCACCAATTCTGTACCCGTGGTGGGCTTTACTCAATATTCTTATTGGTTTCATTGGTATATACTGGATAATTGTTCCGATATTGTATTATACGAATGAGAATGCAAAACTATTACCTATATTTTCGGGCAACTCATATACTAGAGATGGTAGCCCATACAACTATTCACTAATCACCGATAACAATTTGAATCTAAACCAAACAGCTTATGAGCAATATGGTGATGCTGTGTTGACACCAACATTTGAAGTAACGTTTTGTATCCAGGTTGCAGTTATAACAGCAATTATTGTTCATACTATCTTGTATCACGGTAAGTTTATCTTAAAGCAATTCAATATGTCAGTTTTTCAAGCAACAAATGATGTCCACAGCATATTAATGGCAAAACTGGCAAAAGAAGTCCCCGAGTATTGGTATACATTCTTATTCCTGAGCTTATTTATTTGTGCTGCACTAGTGTGTGAACTAGCAGCATTGATGCCATGGTATTATCTGTTTCTAATTATATCAGTTGATTTCATTCTCTTACTGCCTAGTGGCATCATAAAAGCTATAACAAATCAAGATATAGATTTAGATTTGTTAATGTCACTTTTGGGCGGACTTGTATTGAAAGGCAACGCTGTAGCCAATATGACATTTCGAACATACGGTTACACAACTCAACGTCGTTCATTAACATTTATATCTTGTTTGAAACTGGGTCATTATATGAAAATTCCTCCACGTGTTATGTTTACTATGTTGGTTGTTAGTACTTTAATTGGTTCCATACTAAGTTACGTAGCAGCGTATATTATTATAACATATCTTAAGGATCTTTGTTCCAATCACAATTGGTTGTGTCCGAAAGTGCGTGTGTTCAAAGAAATATCTCACTATTTGGGCACTATAGGCACAGCTAATTTCCTTCATGCACACTCAATTACACTGTATTTCTTTCTGATCGGAGCACTATGTCCGATCCCAGTGTGGCTATTACATAAAAGATTTCCTAAAGTTCGATGGTTGAAATATGTGCATTTTCCAGTTATGCTCGCATCGTTATCACAAATACCGCCTATACATACAGCTACGTATCCAACGTGGATATTTATCGGTTTTATATTTAATTATGTTATACTAAAGCGTGCTCCTGACTGGTGGATTAAATATGCTTATATATTTTCAGCAGCAATGAGCGCTGGTGTTGGTGCGGCGCTTATTTTCGTTGCATTTCTCCCGGAATTTCCAGTGTACTGGTGGGGGAATGCTCAAAACGAAGTCGACGGCGATAGGTGTAAATATTCAACCGCTAATTATTATGGAACTATAAGTGATTTAACGCTTTTCGAGAACAAATGAGGGGGAAAAGTCGTATACACACAATAAAACTTACAGAATATAGATACTCTGTCATAGCGAATCGATTAGGAGTACTTGTAGTCCGCTTGAAATCTTCAGAGGATAGCCAGAAAGCTTCTTAGCTTTATATTATATTACACGCTTTTTCGTGGAATCAGATAAGTTCACAACATTTCTCACCTATATTGGCTGCGAATGCCGACTCTTATCTTGAATTTAGAACTATGTTTAGACCTCTGCAGACCTTCAGAGGATCTTGAGAAACCTTTCTAGATTTACATTAGATTACGAAGCTTACACATCAAATCACAGAAAAATTCATAACGTATTTTAGATAGTCCCCTAGTACGGACACCGACCGACGACAGTTCTTGGATCCAAAGTCATGGAAGGGCGGTTGCAGTTACAAGTTCCTAAAACCACGGACCGATCAAGTTCAGACGAGCGTTATCTTGCAGTATAGGGGAGTATAGAATACTTTTGCGTTCTGTCTATTCGCAAAACATGTAACATGGCAACATATGAAATAATAGTTCATGGCCTGAGCAATCATATAAGTAACATACTAATGCAGAAAAGAAAGATGTGCTATTAAAAGAAATAAAACAAAAGTAAATACTGAACCGGAAAAAGAGTGATGATAACAAAGGTTTTTTCTAAGTTGCAAGATAGATGTCGAACAAAGTCGGCCATCTGAATTGAAGGAGCTATTAACTGACGAAGTTTATGTGGGGAATAGGGCACTTTCCCAAAGTCTTAAAGATCAAAACAGATTAACGGAGAAGTAATTTTCAGAAGAAAAAATGTATTTTGCGTTTTTTGCTCGGAAAAACTCCCTTTCCAGCAGATTTCTCCGTAACGAAAAGTCAGAATGGACCATTTTTTTCCTAAATCGAAGCTAAGATATATGCGAACAGCGTATAAGAGTCTGACTTTCGATTCAGGCCGTCATCCTTTTAGATTATTGAAAGTTATACACTAGTGTTTTCACTTTTTTCGCACTTTTAAATAAAAGAAAGAAAAAATTCAAAAAACCGGCCATTTTACTCTAACTTCATTTTATATATTAAAACCATACGAGCTTTCCAGCTGAGCGGGACCCAAGAAACGGAAAAATACCCGTTTTCAGAAAAAGCCGTGTAGTTTCGCCCGGAAGTGTTGTACAGGCTTGAGATTAGCATATACAGATTCAGTATGAAAAACTGAATCTATAGATGAACCTTCTGAAGCCGCAAAACGAAAAATCGATTTTGGACAAAGCCCGAAACCAAAGTGACCAAAACTCACCAACCATTTTTGCAAGTCTTTCAACTCGCTCTGGAGAGGTCCTAGAGTCAAAATTTTTACACCGTCCGATGCGCTATCTCAAGCTCTACTAAAGTCTTTCTCTTCTACAACCAATCAGAGCGGCGCGCTTTATATTAATCTACGAATGCTCCGTTTGCTCCAATCATAATTTCGATGGCTTCCTCAACCTCTTCCATTTATTTCTGACGCTACTAGGCGCTATGCTAACACATTACGGGTATCTCTGGAAAACGTCTAACTGCTTCGTATAAAAGAAATCAAATGTGAAGCTTTTTCCGAAAATTTCTTTTTTGTTATAAAGAAAATAGTTATAAATTAAACTTACAGGGTGCCAAATTTCTTGGGATAATTATGGTCACTAAATAGAAAAATCCTTCACAAATTAACGGTGAAATCAAATCATCAGGGTACATGCGCGTTACATTTCCTAAAACCCACCTTAAAACCTTTCCACAAAAAGAAACCTTTCTACAAAAGGAGGCAACTGGAAAACGAGGAAAGCAGGCACTCTTATTAGGTCACTCACTTTCGACCTGTCACCATCCCACCACTTTCACTCCAGCCATAGGGTTAGAAGTAGGATGAAACTAGTAAAAGAGGAAAGTAGGATATTCCTAAGTTCCTGCTTTCGCGGTAAACCTTTCTAGATTTACATTAGATTACGAAGATTACATATCAAATCACAGAAAAATTCATAACGTATTTTAGATAGTCCCCTAGTACGGACACCGACCGACGACAGTTCTAGGATTCAAAGTCATGGAAGGGCGGTTGCAGTTACAAGTTCCTAAAACCACGGACCGATCGAGTTCAGACGAGCGTTATCTTGCAGTATAGGGGAGTATAGAATACTTTTGCGTTCTGTCTATTCGCAAAACATACAACAACAATACAACAATATTAGAGAAGACAGTGAAAGTAAAAAATCCTCTTATTACGTCATTTAAACGTTTTGTTGTGGCTTCACGCTGCGGAATTCACACTGTGGAAGTTTTGATAATTGATTGCCTGGTACAATAAAGCATGCACTACTTGGAAGTGGAATAATTATTGACACATTTATAATTCGATCAGCAGACTGATATTTACTTATAGGCTGAAGAAATGCACCAGTACTCGGATGACTAATAATGTGCAAGTCCGATGTGAGCAAAACGGCCAGAACATATTGCGGTAGTAAGATTGCTAATAAGTAATGCATAAATATTCTGACTATCAGTTAAACTGTCTTAATTTTCTGTGAGAACGGAATTTTATACAATATAAAATTTAGAAATAGAATAATATATATTTATAGTGTTTCTTAGTGGTCATTAGAAAAAAAGATCATTATTGGACAGATTCATCCATCTGTCAAATGATATCTTTTCAGTGTAGCTGGGCTACAGAACGTCGTATATTTCCAACAAGATTAATAATATATTAAACACATTTCTACTTGTTAAAGCTTTTAACATCTTATGTCCTTTATGAAATTGCTGTTTAATTTTAGCACTTGAAGTTTACAAATACTAATCAGATAATGAAATGGCCCCCAGAAATACGATGCTTTTATGATGTGTCAAATTCATATAGATAAAAAGCTATCATATTATAATAAGATAAAGTGATTGAACATCACCTTTACAGCTGAAGGCATTGTAGATTGTTATGACAAGCGAAAGCAAACGTTCTCAAATACAGATACGACAATATGTTGATTTCTCTACGTGTATTTCAGATAAAAAAACTTTCCAAGATTAGCAGGCTTCAATATTATTCTGCATAACAACATGGTTTAGTGAGTACATCTCACACACTTACTAAACTTTTTTAATACTCTTTTTCGCATAGATTACAGATGGTATACGTCGATTATTAGGTCTATATCCACAAAATTATGATAAAGGCGTTTAAAAACAACATTGGGAAGGATTATCATAATAATAAGTGGGATGAAGTGGGTGGTTTAGATGGTTTCATTAATTCGGTTGAAAAGTTAGGTCCAGATTACCGTCATTTAGAAACTGATCATAATTGGCGAGAAGTTTTTCAATCTGGGGCCGTTTACTCACCGGAACAACATGTAAAAGAAATGATGAAAAATCAAGAAAATGGCTTTATACTATATGGAGAAATAATCATCGAGATATTCGAGCTAAATTTTTCGGAAAGAAAACCATGGATATTTCGTCTGTTCACACTGATGATAAAAATAACTCAACGTTATCTACAATTCCGTCTATTGAACGGAAAGCAACGCATTCAGCTACAAATGAAACTCTGTCAAATATTCCAAAAGTACTTTATGTTTCTTGCTTAATTATGATGAATGGACAACAATTTTTGACCATAAACAATATGAATTAAAAGATAATTGGACAAATACATTCAACCAGAAATTGATTGAAGCAGGATTAACTTGCACCGTAAAATTTCAATATCACCATGTTAAACAAAAACGATCTCGTAAGAGAAATTCTGCTTTTTTTTCGTGCATGGCTCATTGTAAAATCAAACTTTGCAGCATCGTGCTATGTATCAAATTAAAAGATGAACCCCTAAAGAACATGCTGGCGTTATTCTCAGTCGAAATACTTGGTGAAGAGCATCACAATGCAGGAGAAGAAGTAGCTGGTCAACAACTAACCGGTGATGTTGGACTAGAAATGGGTGAATAATCAATTAGTATTTTTTAGACTTCATTTAAAAATTTTGAATTCGTTTTCTTGGATATGAGAAAAATCCAATGTGCTAAGTCTTGTAATATTAGTTGTTTTTATAATTTTAGCTAAACATGCTGCTGAAATCGGCCCATTAAACGTATTCGAATCCAACGTACGAAAAGCGGATAATGTACTGCTTAGTGCAGGAAATTTTACGTATGTGCCAACAATCGGTGTGCCAACAATCGGTGTAATAAAAAGTGCTGCCCAAGAATATAGACGGAAGTTCAGATATGACAAAGATATATTTAAAGAAGTTCGCATTTTAAGAGAAGCATTGTTAGCTTCAGACTCATCGTCCAAACATGTAACTGGCAAGTACACATCAGTCTAAGCTATTTTATTTTGGGAAGCAATGTAGTATACAGCGCTGAGCAAAAAGGGTATATTTCCTGAAGGATCCAAATCAGCACTACATCTCAGTCCGAATAACTTCAGAGGTAGTCGTGTCTAAAGTAATTATGTATTTCCTAGAAGAAAAGGCAAAAATATGCATGAAAATCTCACAATATATATTGAATCAAATAATAATTTTTCTAATTACTAGGCTATATACAAACAAGTGCGGAGTACCAGTTCACGCTGCATTTTTTGATGGAAATACAATTGCAATGTTATATCACGTACATTAACTCAACTCGCTATCCTAATCTACACGTAGACGCAATCGGAAGTGTAGTTAAAAAATTATCAAATCAACCACCGTCCTATTTCTATTCCATGGTGTTCAAAGATGGAGAAGACCCATCGAATATCGTTCCATTAAGTGGTGCGGTATTATGTGACAATACGGTTACTGGGATCAGCTTTTATTTCTCCACGTTACGAAAATGTATAATTTTGTTAAAGAAAAAGTATTATCGACCGTCCTTTTTTATTATTGATTTTTCGGCCGCAATATTAAATTCTATATTAAACGTATTTAATTATGAAGATTTTCATCATCATCTACGACGTTGTTTTAACATTATCCAACGAAAGTATACGGTCAAACAAATACAATCGAAGTCATTTGTAAGATTTTGTTGTGCCCATGTAATGCATGCGTTCGCACGTAGTTTATCAAAAACTGAAATTAAAAAAGAGCACCGTCATGTAACTATCAAATTATTTGCTATTTCATTAAATTGTAATATAATTTTTGATGCATTGCGTTTATTTGAAACGATTTCATTAATATACGGTGATCCTTCGCAAACGAACGTCGACAAAGCTGTTGAGCCCTTATTACCGGTAACGGATGTTCTTGATTTCGATTTGAAAGAATTTCTCAAAGACGATACAGATGATGATTTAGATGAGCTCTCTCCGGTGGATGATCTATTAGAATCGTCGGATCCAATAATTCATCAGTCACCGTTCAGCATAATTGCGAGAGAACAAATACCTTTCTTACAAAAAGCTCTTTCTGAACGTAGCAAACCATTAATACCGCCAACAAATCCTTATTATACAAAAAAAGTGATCGATTTGTTTTATAGATGGTGGGCGTATTTACCTATGTGGACGTGTATTCTTGTGGATTATAAGGAGCGGTAACGTATAATTTCTTTTCTACTTCGATTAAAGCTTCAGCCCTGCTTTTATTTAGGTATGCGAGCGACAAACCGGTCTCAGCAGACACGTCCGTACTGGGTCGTGGACGTTTATTAAATGCAATAGCCGAATCGTATTTTGAAATTATAAAAGAAGTAGTGTTGCAAAAGAAAACGCGACTCCGACCAGCTGATTTTGTTACAAAGGTTTATCAAAGTACTGTAGCACGTTTCAAGGCTGGGCAGTTCGGTGTAACACAATCAGTTCAACCGAGAAAGTCAAGAAAGCCTTTAGATGTACTTATACCCGAAACATGGAGAAAACATGGTAGAAAATCACATACAAGAGGCATTTATTTCAGGAGGATAAAAAGAAGTCAAATCACAATCAGAAAAACCTCTGATCGGCCACGGTAATCCGAGTAACTGATATTTGACATTTCTGTTATATGACGGCTCTAATTGTAGATCTACTAGTGCATCCGGTGTATCTCCTCTTCGGGCAACTTCAACAGATTCTCAATCAGTTGATTCTTTGGATATATCGTATGATGCTGAATCAGTCATTAATGCAAAGACAAAGAGAAGTAGCACATCCATAGATGACATTCAACCACAGTCAACTACACCATCAAATCCTCATGAAGATCTAGCGGATGATTTACAGCTGGTCGATTGATCAATAGATCAACGTATATTAGCAACTGTTTCAGTAAATACAATTGATAATACTAAGTGGAGAGCGTCACGGGTTCGGACAGCTATTAGAAAGTATGCACACGATTATGTCACTGATGATAGACTGTCGAATATCTCAAAGTCGAATTTTTCTAAACAAACGGCATCATCATTTAGTTCATCTTCTAAAGAAAATAATCAAGCAGAAAACTAAATACGGGCTCCTCATTCAGCAACAACGATGCATATTACTACGCGTTTGAAACATAAACGTCAAAAATCTAAATCGCCAAGTAAAACACCGTTACAAAAGTATTCTATACTGCCCTATACTACAAGATAACGCTCGTCTGAACTCGGTCGGTCCGTGGTTTTAGGAACTTATACTAACTAGAGCCCATCGGGTCCGACCCGGAGCCGGACCCGATGGGCTCTAGTTACCGGTATGCCGCTAATTTGGAAGCTCAAGTACATCTTGATGAGGCTAAACTTCAGGATATGAAAAATAAAAAAGAACGTTTGAAGTTTGAACGTCAACACAATGCAAAACAGGAGGAGAAAAAATTGAAATCAATAGCATGTGAACTTAAACAAAGCCAGAGAAAGAGAAATCGAACCATGAAAATAACACCATACACTTCTCTATACCATTTTGTTCGGTAGCCCTTGAAATCCTCTAGAAACTGAGCTATTCAAAATGTCTCGACTGGTCGGGTCAGTCCCAAAGACACATAAGAGAAGCGTTGAAGTACGAAAATTTTGGGAATGGGAAGAAATTATTAATTTATATATTCATAAATATTTCTATTTCGATACCATGAAACATACAAAAGAAACATCATCATTCGTCAAACAATGACGTTTATGAGAGGAATCGTAGTATCAACAAACATTGTCATTACCCTTATGAGCACATGTCGCTATTGTTTCTTTCATATTTATTTAAGAGATGGTTTTTCAAGCATCATCATTTATCGAACATTGGGGTTAACTACAACACCAGAGCGAAACAAAAAGTGCTGAGTAGATTCAACCCTTATTTATTGGAAGCATTACAGTATTACTTGCTTTCTCTTGAAGTTTATGAGAGGAATCGAAGAAAAATGTCAGTACCAATGTTTGACGAATGATGATGTTTTTTTGAATGTTTCATGCGATTGAGAAAGAAATATTTACGGATATATTTACTTCACCTCGAAGTATCAATAAACATCGCCATTTTTTCTATAAATATAAAAACATTCAATTTCATTTTTGCTGTGTTCTACTTAGGGGTATCCAGAAGTAATGTCGTCCCTATCTTATTTCCTTATTAATTGGTTACGACGAAATTCTTTTTTTACAGAAAGATAGAGAAAATGAAACTGTATTTTTCTATACTATTTCATCATATCCAACTAAGTGTCATAGGAACGAAATTTTGAGCAGAAGTGTATTCGTGCAAAACTTAACTTTGGCATTATGTGGTGTTTTCGTCCGTTTCGATGCAAATTTC